CCCCCCCCACCGAATACAACTCAAGAACCACTCAGTAAATGAAGGAAGCAGAAATCCCTCAACCCAAAGGAGCAATAACCAGCACACACATCCCCACATACATAGACATCCCTCCAGCTGCCCAGCAAGGGGCCTCCGCACCTCCTGGCTGGGGGGTTGATTTAAAAGCTGGGGGGGGGGCAGTGGGGGGGCCATGCTGCCTGTGATCTCCCACGGCTGTAGCTACCTGCAATACTGCTGAGGCCGCCACTTTTGAGGCCTCTTTTGAACGGAGGAAGTGCAGAGGCGAAATTCCAGAGAATTTCGGGTTCCAAGCTCTGTTCTCAGAGCAGCCTCAGATGGGGACAGGAAAGCCCGGACGGACCACGGAGGGGGGGGCAGGGGGGGCTCTCAAAGGAAAAGGAACTGGTTTCTGGCCGGGGCTTCCTGGCCGGAGGAAGCAGAGCAGAAAAAGGGAAGCGTTTCTCCCGTCCATCCGTCCGGGGGAGAAGGCCTGCTCCGACACAGCAGCCTCTCCCCGTCTTCGGTTCCTTTGCTGCCTCTGTGAGACGTTGCAAAGGGCCAGAAAGTCTCTCGGGGGGGGGGGGGGCTGCAGCCCAACAGAAAAAGCATCACCCCTCACAATTTGAAAAAATAACAGCGAGAAAAAAGGAGAACCAGATGTTTTTTCCTAATTCCAATGGGGGAATTCCACATCCCTTTAAAGCCTTTTAAACTTACATTTTCCAATTCAAAGGGAGTCTTTTCAACCCTGCGCCTGGTCTTTGAACATTTCTGTTCAAAAGGTCAGGCGGGGCGTGTGGACTCAGGGCTTGCTTAGGCCCCCAAGAACCCCCCCCCCTCACCCTGCGCACGGAAGGCCTGTCCGCAAAGGCTCCTCCGAACGCTCGGGGCAAGTGGGGGGAGGGCCAGCTCCTCCCAAAGCCGGAGCTCGGCAGAAAAGGCAGCCGAGGTCCCCAAGTTGCCATGCAGACCCTGGGAGGCCCCCAGCCCTTTCTGGAGCCACTGGCTGCGGGCTCCTTCGCAATGGAAAGGCCCAGGAGGTGGATGGGAGTTTCCCCAGGCCCCTCCACTGCCTGTGTGACTTGATCACGTAACACGGCATAAGACGCGGCTGCTCCAGAGAGAGCCAAGCTGCCCGGCATCCAGAGCCATCGGGAAGGCAAAGCTCTACAGGCGCCCGTTCAGGGCCACGCATCTTCCTCCGCCCGCCTGAGGAGGCCTGGGAGGAAGGCAGGTGGCCTGATGGCAGGTGTGTGTGTGTGCAGTGGAGGAAGTAATCTTAGTGCTGCAGAAACCGTGACCCGATTCTGCACTGCAGCGCTGCGGCTGGAAACACCGACGGGGCTGCCCCAAGGGTCCATCGGAGCAGAAGCCCCCAAGGCCAGCCAGGTCATTCCAGCGGAACAGGACGAAGGGGCGGATCCTATCTCGGAGGCGAGCCAAGCCTGGGGGAGAGCCTGGAGGTTGCCAGGCTGCCCCCTCCCTGCGTCCTTAGCGCTGTTTCGGGGACACTGGGAGGGCCAGCTGCCTCGGGGACTTGCCAGAATGAAAGGATGGGGTGTGAATTCATCAGATAAAAAATAAAAACTGGGCCCTGGTGTGCCTGAGGCTCTTTCTCCTTGCTTGAGCACCCCAAGCCTTGGGGGTGAGGAGGCCTGAGGACCCGATTCCTCCCCCAGGATGGGCCCTTGAATCAGCCCTTCAGGCCTCCTCAACCCCAAGGCCAGCTTTTATTCTGGCGAGTCCCTGAGACAGGCAGCCTCTAAATGTATTAGTCCCGTCAAGGCTGCTTCCGGACAGGGCTGGTCCCCCCGAGCACCATCTGCCGGACTGGAGGTGGGACGAATCCACTCCGAGTGGCACCTTCAGGGCCAAATCCCGCCAGGGGTCCGACCTGGGATGGCCAAACGCAGTGGAGGCGAACGAAGGAAGAGCCCGCGTGGCCCCAGCCGAGCCGGAAGCCCAGAAGAACATCCCAGTTGCTCAGCCGAGTCTGGGGGTGCCAGGCAGTTCTTTCCCAGAAAGAGGGGGGAGGGCTGAGGAGGAGGGCCTGCAATTCTGCCCATCTCCGCCAAGCAGCCACCTACCCAGAAAGCGGGGCCCACCAAGGATCCGGGGGGGGCCTGCCTAGGCAGCAAGCAAAGGGGCCCCAGAGGAGACTGGGCTTAAGCTCAGTCCAGTCCCCAATGACTTCGGAACCGGCCCTGGGGGAGGCTAAAGAAGAGCCAGGCGTCTGAGTGCTAGCGTAACGTCACCCTCCCAAGGCCGAACTCCTAGTCCAGGAAGCGAAGGAAAGGACGCCTGCATTGGGGTCACAGAGCGCATTTGAAAAGCTGCAGGCTGACAACGCAACAGGAAGATGATGATGTTGCTGCACCACACGGCCTCCCGCCTCTCCCCACGGCTGTCGGGATCCATTGTGGGAAACAAGCCCCTCCATCGCTTGGCTTCTCCCGTCCTCTGCGCTTAACCCGAGGCAAAAGAACCGCCTGGAGAACCAGGGCAGCGTCTAAAGCAGCAGCTCTGTTCTCATCCCCAGCTTCTGCCTCTTAAGCCTCAAGTGCAAGAGGCAGGCAGGCGCCTGGAAAACCTCTTTCCCCATCCGAGGGGAAGGGGAGCTCCAGTCTTTTGGAAAGAACCTGGCTCCCTGCGAATCACAGCTCCTGGATTACGGCCTTGCTTTCTGCTTGATCGTTTCCCTGGTGGGAATCCCTGCTTCTCTGAAGGTGGGAGGGGACAGGCTCTCCTCTTTTTGTTCCCTTCTGAGCTTTTTTACTTTCTCTCGTCAAAGGTCTGCAAACGTGACTTATCTCCGATTTCTCTGAATGCCAAGCTTCCAGAAATTCCAGGCCGTTTTTTTTTATTTATTTAGCTGGTCCTGGAGAGAATAGGACAACTTGCCGCAGGACTTGCTACAGGATAATTTAACGACTCTGTTTAATTATTTGAAATAAATAAAACTTCTTTTTAACTCTTGCCATTCCCATTTCATTGTGTCCCTCCTTTGGCGTCCTTTCTTGGATGCTCCTCTTCCACCGTTCCTTTGGGGTTAATGCAACTCTTGCCCTGCAGTGAGGGGCCCCAGCCGTCCTTCCCTAGACCCGGTCTAGAGGCGCTCAGAGTTTCCCAGTTGAAACTGTGACCGAGTCTGTCCACGTGTTGCCAGATTAAACAGCTGGTGCCCATGGATGCACCCCTCCGGCCTCCCACTGGTCCCACGCAGTGACCGTTACAGTCTTTACGCTGTGCGGGGCCTCCTGTTTTTCCTCCCGGGGCTGCTGGGTCTTCTGGCTCCCTTCAGGAGGAAGCCCTTTGGGGGGGGGGCCTTCAGCTGCTTGGTGTGTGTGTGGCAGTGAGGCCATGTGGTTGTAGCTGCCTGTTGGCCGTTTCCGACACATGGCCCTCTTATCCTTCGCATCACTCGTGTTCAATGTGTGGGGTGGGTGGGTTGAGCAGCCAGGGGCTTTTTGACTGAGTTGCGTAGGTATCCACTGTGTTGTCACATAGGCAGCCGGTTTTTCTAAATCTTCCCCTGTTTGTCTTTTCTTTAACTTTCTCATTCTTGTGTAGT